GTGATTTTCAAGAGACCAGGTCTTTCATAATATGTAAATTATGTCAGGGATAATTATAATTGCTCTAAAAATGTAAGTTAGAATTTGTATATTATTTCATATTTCTTCGTTTCTTCTTCGAGCATATGTTACAAAATTTAAAAAAACAAACTTTTATGAATTATTTAAAAACTATTTTAAATAGCGTCCTTTAATTGAGTTAAATGTGAAAATGAATTGATGATTTCGCTTTGCTTAATAAGATATGGAAATGAAAAGAAAGCATGTAAAAACCCAGTAATTTTGAAGAATATAAAAATATTCTATTCTCTCCATTGTAATTTTCTTGCAAGCGGTATCAATAATGATAATTGGCAAAATGTATATTCCATACGATTAAGCGGCCATTGTTGCTTCTAACCCATTGTTGTAATGCCACACTGATAACAAAGCGATAATAACTGCTGTCTTTTCTTTCACATTAATATAAAATAATAATTTTAATAACGGCTAAAATATGCGTCGTGCATCGTCGGTACGTGTATTTAGAAAAGGCAAAAATCTGTTTTCGATTAAGCATTTAAATTAAAAAATATATATGTATTTTTCACGCTTTGTTTGTTAAACATTTTTCCAATGGTTGTTGAAGTGTAAGACAGAAATTGTCATATTATAATATTACTTAGCCATTAACAATATTGCGAGAAATTACGTGCTGTTGTAGCACCACTAGTTTATGTTTGAAACAATGATTCACAAAAAGCGGAGTGTTATCACGTGTCGAGCTAGTAACGTACAATGCAAGAACATCGCGCATATGGAATAAACGGAACATATGCAAAGTAATGCAATCATTTTCAAAATGGGTAAGTACACGTGAGCGAGACTTGCACATCAACAGGATTCCCAAACCGACAATTCAATGTTGCAAATGTGCATTGATGATGTGATTGCTGCCAAACGTGAGAATAAATGTCAATTTATCAGTACGAGTTGCATCAAAACACTACGGCATTATTTCAATGATTGTTCTGGAGAGGCTATTTCGTGATCAATACATGAATTCGGTATCGGTTATTTAATTCTCAAGGGGGTATCAAAACTCATTGGCAAAACCCTAGGAAACTAATCAGGATAAATACTGTAAAGTTTGGTATATTTTGTATATAGGTCGTTCTCCACAAGCGCAATATTTTTCTTCAAAACTACCAATCTTGGAAAAATGATATTTTACAAAATTAATTCCACTAATTTCGTGAAACAAATTTAATTTTTGACGTATAATTAATTATAAGTATAATCTAAATCAAATCTAAAGAATTCACCACGCCGTTTCACACGCACGTTGTGAAGTTGCTCCGGACTGCAGGCCTGCCAACAGTAGTTAGCAGCGAGTTCTGTTGACGAAGTGGCAGGCGCTTCATCGACCGCAAAAGTGCAGTAAATTGCCGCGTGGGGTAGGAAGGTGGACTGCGAGGGAGATTACTCACATCCTGTTCCCGCTCGTGATTCAACTGTGCGAGCTCCTCTCCTCCACGACTCTTCCTCGCAGGCGTCTTAAAGGAGATCGCCTTGAGCGATCAGGACTCGCCACCGCTCGTCACTACGAGCCAACTACTTTTCAGGCGGAGGGATTGCTTATTTGCTTATTTCGTGGTTCCGGGCGCGTCAGCTGCTGTTGTCGTTGGTCTCTTCAGGGAAGTGGCGCTGTTCTCCTCCCGTTGTATGATGAGATCCGGCTCCAACCTATATGTCGCTTTGCCGAGTTCTCCCATCCAGGTATCTGCCCAACGGGGCACCGCCCCATCCGGGCAAGCGCTAAGCTCTTGACGTACGTGGTAGTTTAGTGCATGTGTGGCGTCTTTGCCGGGCAATAAATCACAGACGTGAACGGTTTGTAATTTATTGAGTATTTATTTGAAAAATGCTCCAACACATGAATACTATGTACAATAATTAAATAAACAATATTGACCCGTTACTAGAAGGAATGTTCTTGGTTACCACCACCACTGGCCTGATAATTAGATATCTTATTCGGTGTGATGCACCAGTAGCCTACGTGAGCATACAAGCGAGTATGCCGCACCTCCCGTCTCGACGTAGCACGCCGGCTTCAGTTCCCTGCCTCAGTAGCCTATGCATTAAAATGCAGCGCCGCGCACAACCCACACGACTTCCTACCGACGCACCCAAGAATCAGAAGAAGGAGTTTAGGTCCGGGGTCCGTTTATATTACCTTCTGCGCCGGCTGACGGAACTACGTCATCTCGCCGTCTCCGCCGACGCGTTTCCGCAGCTAGTCTGTCTACAGGGTTCCGAAGTTTGCCGCAAGTGGTCTACGGGGTTCACAAGTGGCCACCCACGACACGGCGCCCCTTCCCTTCCGCTCCCTAGGTTTGCCATTGTTCAGCCAGACGTCTCTTCCCGCCAGCGCTGTCCATGAGCATGAAATGCACGTGGCTGATATTTTGTCACATTTGTACAAGGCGACTGATATGACGCCACACATGTGAGGCGATTGGGCAAGGGCAAGGAAGAAAAGGAAAGGTCTGCGGTCCGTGACCTTTTTGTTAGGGTAATGCTACGGAATTTTCCTGGTATTGATCGGAGAAACCACGGAAAACTATCGGTCAGAGTAGCCAACAGCTAGAAATCTCCTCCAGGCAGCGTCTGAACTCGACCTAGCTAATAGCCGCGTAGAAAATCCTGCAGTGACATCTGTTGAGCCACCTCAACCGGTAACTACTTTTCAGCTTTCATTCAGAGTGTAGGGTAATGTAAAAGAGCTCACGGGAGCAAGGAATCACTGATAGGCTGGAAGACCGCAATACGGACACATGGTTACATAGGTTTTTTATAGGGTAACGTTAATGTTATTTTATTTATGTAACGTTTATGTTATTTAATTATTCATTAAATACATACATTTACTGTTTTCATGAATATAATACGCAAACACATAATATAAAATTATAAATAGTTTAACTACTTATCGGCAATCCAGGATGCAAGGTTTACATTACTAAGCAGGAACAAAAAAAATGAATGTGAGTGGCAAAATATTGGAATTCGAATGGCATTAATCGTTTAATACCTCACCTTTCTATCCGCCTCTAGGTGTAAGAAAAAACAGAATGTGGCGCGAAACTATATTTAAAGTTAACATCTTGACATAATTTTAAATGTTGCTCTATTGCAAAACATGTTACGATTGTGTACCTTATCGTTTTTTTATGGTGCTCAGTTTTTGATTATTTGTATTTTTTCTTTTATTTATATATTTATTTATTTTCTATTTTAAAGATCATCAGACAGATGGAAACCTGGCTTGGAGAAATATTTTCTAAGGGTATGTGTCGAGGCAACATGATGCGGACAGCTTCTGAATCATAACATCCTTGTATAAGTTTACATTCATCTGCATTTTTAACGTCATGCATTATTCTGCGACGCTAATCTAATACATAACATGCCCAAATAAATCAGCTCGCATCCAATGTAACGAAAATATCCGCCAAGACTTCATGCCGAGGCACAATTCTATTCCAACCACTCTGATAAGACCGACCAGAGTCTTGATTTTCCCGAAAGTCATCGGCGAAGGCACGTGTCATACACTCTGCTTGTCATATTAGTCATACTAGCTGCAGCGGTGTAATTGATTGATTGATTAGTGACTGCGCGCGCATCGACGGCTAAAGTAATTCGTCCCGTTAGAGTAGAGCATCTGTTTTTTTCTCGGGAAGAGTCAGTGATTTTCCCCCGCTGGATGGTGAGATCCGGCGCGACCTGCACACCGGCTCACGGGGTTTCCCCTAACCAAGTTACTCCCACCAGCGGGCACCGCCTCAGCCGGGACAAGCTCTAAACTTTCGACCATTCAACAGACATGTGCGGTAGTGTATTGCATGTAAGTGCAAGTGTGTATGTCTTGAGGTTAGGTCAAGGAAGGGAAAGGAAACATCGCGTGCACTATATGGCCGATGTGTTAGTATACCGATTCGGCAGTCCTTTGGTGTTGATCGGAGAAACCACGGAAAACTACCGATCAGAGCAGGCGGCCGATTAGATTCTCCTCCGGATAGCGAACGAATTCTTGCTAGTCTGGAAAACCCTGCCGCCTTCGGGATTACTGGTCAAAGGCACTACAGTGACATCAGTTTATGTTCTGAACCACCTAAGCCGATAAAACAGGGGTGCGAAATTAAGGAACCGGATGAAGTTGCATCACTAACAGAAATATTGATGTTACTGCCCATTGATGATGATGATGATTATGATGATGTTTATGATGATTAGGGAGCGGATTTCTATGATTTTGCATATTTTTGTCCGGTGCTTCAGGTCGTAGCTAAGAGAAATTTCTTGACATTTAGTTAGAATTACATGCTATGTAGATTATTATGTTAGTGCATATTTGGTTGATTTTTCTGTTGGTGCATACTCATGTAATTATAGAAAAATATTTCATTAAAATAGAGACTTACCTCTAAAACCTTCAAGATTTCATACGATCTATGGATTTGTGAGTGTTCATCGATTACAAAGAGCTTGTCGCAGTTTGCGTTTTTTCCTTTTCGATAGATGATAAAATACTCGTACATCTGTAGGAAATGATATAATTTTTTTACAATCAGGCAGAAAAATTGCAACAAGATATACAATGTACTTCACTAAGGTAAATATTTACTTCAATTATTTCTCCCACGAAATAAGGTACATTATATTCTGTTTGCACAAAAATATACATTTTCATTCCAGGCACGCTTCTCCTGAATTTTATCAAGAAAGGTTAATGCAGGAAATGAAATATGTTAATTTTAACTGCATATTAAAGTGCATATCTGAGAATTTTAGGCCATAAATACGCTTTTTTAAAATTATGTTTCAAAATTTTCGGACATAAAAGTCCTTCCCCAAGTGTCGATGAAAAAGCGATTTGTGCTTGTAATAGAGGCGCTGACTGTGTTGCAATGCACTTCGCTTATCGCGTGGGCTGGTGACCCGCAGGCGCTCTGATGGGTGACGGGGGCACGCCGCTCTGGTCGCCGCTGGTGACGTCGGCTTGGACGCTGCTGGCGGTGCTCGTCGTCACCGCCATCGTCATCCCCTACCGCTTCACCAGCCGCCGTTACCGCCAGCTCGTCTCTCGGATTCCTGGTCCGCCGGCCGTTCCCATTGTGGGCAACGGACTGCTGATTGTCGTCGCCACGCGGAGAGGTACTGTGTTGCGTCCTTGTTAATGTTGCACTCTGTGCACATCTTTCTTTAAGTTCCATTGCACATTCTCTTAAACCAGTTACTTCTGAACTGTTGAATGTCCGTTGGGTCCTTTTTACTCGACTAGTTCGGGAGAAATGCACGGATGTAAAGAACAGGGTTAAGTGACATAAAACTACCAAGACTGTCCCTTATAACCAATAAACATGAAAAGAATTGTTAAATTATTACCAACGTTTACATTGCTTATACAAAATAAGATGTAAGTACGTTGACAGAAAGGAAAAATATGTACTCGCTTTAATACAGTTCAGAAATGGTTTCTTCAATAAGTGTTCAAAAGCACGTCGTATGTTGGACGAAACGTAAATTTTTTGGACTCGATTGTTTACCATGCTTAGCAGCACTTCACTTCGCGTCCATTTATAAACACTACGTCCAAAAACCCTCATATTTCGGCCTTGGTACACGAACACTATCAATGTTTGTATTACTCACATTTCAGAATATTCCAATTTCATCGCATGGACACTCCTACAGAAATTCGAAGTAGCTTTGACGTCTTATCATCTCCTTGACCAAGATTTTCTCGTTGCATCAACAGCCTGGATTTAGAGAGATCACGTAAATCTGTTCAAATTCACACTGATGACGGAGTTTAGGAAGGAGTAGATCTAAAGGATATTTTATCGAGGATTTTGTGAAGGATGGGGGAATGCTTGTATGGCGGTGTTTGAAAGGAAGATGGTGATCTTTATTGGGTTTTACGATAATGATTACGCGATTTTCTTACAGAAGCAATGTATGATAATTATACAGTAAAAAGGAGTTTAGGAGTTTTGTTCGTCAAGGTCTTCATTGAGGTGTTGGAGTTGAAGATACGTATTTCGACAGGATGAGGTGATTTTATTGCCCCTTTTTTTTTCTTTTTTTGAAGTTCGATGTAATTGTTATTGTTGCAGGAAATGTGGTTACTAGTTATGTAGAGTTCTTGGCCGTATCAGAATAAAACAATATCACTCTCTTCTTTTACCGCATATCGCGATTTGCAATAGATAAACAATTTTATTTTTCTTGTGTAAGAAATTTTAGTACTTGAATAATGCGGCTGTGAATGTATGTTTTGTTAGTATTCGTCTGGTATGTCTAACAGACTTTCATTGGATTTTGAAACAACAATGTAAACAAAAGAATATTCATTTGCAACAACTTTTACTTTCGGAAAGGTCTCAAATAGGGTGTCATAGGGTTAAATAGGGTATAATTTCATTTTGTCACAACAGCCTTCACATTGATATGTCGGTCGAAACGTCGGCACCTCAGCCATCGACGCGGCGTCACCCGGACAGCCCAGATCATTACTCTGGCCGCGGAAGCCTACGACAGCCTTCACATTGCAAATCACCCTCTTCAGTTAATAAAGTTTTCACAGTGTGAGCAGAAAACGTGTTTTACTTTCTCGCACTTGCTGACGTAAGAACATGAAGTAGTAATCTTGCGCCGGAAAACGGAACATTGTCGACACAAAAACCCTTATTACCAGACCCAGGTAAGGAAAAAGTGGATAAATTCAGTTGCTGAATAAAGAAACAAACTCCTCCAACAAAACACTTGGTGTAGCCAGAATCCATGTTTTGTGGGTCCTTGATACTGAAAATTCGATTGACGGCAAAACGTCTGTCGGTCCGGCTGGGCACAACGCGAGCCCATAAACCATTCAGCCGATTTTACCTAAAATTGATATTCCCCAATCGTTCACGCTGATGTCGCGGACCCTGGACTTTGAAATCGACATTTTCATTTTGGAGGGGTACTTAATATGAAACCTGTAGGAAATTTGAAAAAAATCTCCAAATTTTTTGATTAAATGTTTTTGAAAGGACGTTTTAGAGAATGATACAGATCTCACTTCCGTTAACATCCCCGATTTTTCGTAAATTGTAAAAAAGAAAAAAAAAACTTCAAAATTGGAGATAGAGATTTTTGTCTCAGGGAAGAACAGAATTAGCTCTTCAAAATAGGTCATGAACAATTTTTTTTAAATAGTCGTAGTTTTTGCATATTTTGCGATTGAATTTTACAAAAAAAATCTCAATAACCGCTCCAATTTTTTTCTTTAAATTTTCTTCACTTATATAATAAGAGACGATAAAAATATAGTGGTAGTCATATTTTCAGGTATTGCTCCGTTTTTTGAAAATAAAAATAAATTAAAACTACAAAATTGACGATAAGAGATTTCGGCTTTAGGCAAAGTCTCAAAAAACGCTCGAATTTTGTACATTACATTTTGTACATTACATTTTTTACATTACATATGTAATAGGGAACGGAAAGAAATAGGGCGCTAGTCTCATTTTCGGATATTCTTTGTTTTTTTTTCGAAAATTGTAAAATGGAATTGCGGTGTAATATTATTACAGAACCGTTACTAAGAGGCTAGAAAGTATGTGCTGTTGTAGCAGCACTAGTTTAATTATTTTGATGGTTGAATTCTCTAGACGTAAATAAACATCCAATATATAATAATTTTAAACTTTTCTCACTTTTTGAATTGGCAATTACTTTCTCCGGTTCTTTTCCGTGTTAATACTCCATTTTACCATTTTAATAGTCTCAAGTATAATTTTTTTAAAATTTCATTATTATTTTGCGATTTTATTTTTATATCGGTATTCCGTGTTGCATTCTTTGAATGAGTAATAAATGATACATATTTGCTAAAATTATGTGCTGGCGAATATATACTGAATGATAACATTTTGTGTGTTTCAGGAGTAATACCATTATTGAAAAAACTTCGCGAACAATATGGATCATTCTTCAAACTACAAATACTGGGGCTCACGCATATTATGATTTCCGATGTGGATATGATAGAGGTAAGTTGCTAACAGAAGGAATCACCAAGAACACAACCGAATTACTTTGATAATTCCATACAATCATATTAATCGCAAAACCCTGAAATAATTATTTGAGTCATCACTGCCAACAATATTGTTTATTACAATAGCAGCTTTCGATGGCTTAGCCATCATCATCAGTTTTCTAGTACAAGAAAATAAATAAAAACGTGAATATTTTTTGTTTTTTCAACAAAATTATAATAAAAAATATTACTAATAATTTACAATATTTAGAAATATATTTAACATTTTTTAAGAACTGAATGAAATAAAGAGGGGTGTTAAATCATTTAATACTGCAAGAAAAGTGAATGAAATTGAATGAAAGTGAATGTAAAATTTGAAACAGAAATCATGAAAATGTAAGTTGATCCGTTCCTTACCTGCTAGATGGAAGCCACAAAACGACTACGCGGGGTCGGGCGAGCCGAGGGGCTTAAGTACCCGGCCGTGGGGTGGAGGAGGGCAAAGGCCTCGAGGGGTGCGGTGCGCTCTCTACTGTGCCGCCCCGGGGAGTGCGGTGTGGGAGTGGTGTCGGATAATAATTTTAGTAGAGGAGAGGAGCTTTGGTTCATGTTTTCATTCAGTAAGTTATTACAATTACAATTGTATTTAAATCAATATGGAGGTTTTCTAACGTTAATCTGGTGTGATATTGATTTTCTATTTCCAGTTTATGAATATGTGTGTGGATTGAATGTATGGCCTGACTGGAGTAAATGATTCGCAAAGTGAGATTTATAGGTGTTGTGTTTCCAAGCCTGTATACGATCTGTATGTTCATTAATTCTGGTATTAAAAGTTCTGCCTGTTTGACCAAGATATTTGGCTTCGCAATTATGGCAATTTAGTGAATATACCCCGCTTTTTTCTAAAAGATCTGTGTTGTAGGGGGGACAGCATTCTTTCAGGGAATTCTTGATGGACTCGCAATTATTTGATGAACTACAATTTTAGTAAGTTTTCAATATGCAACAGCACTCTTGAGAACAGCAAATCAAGGGGCTCCTGTTAGGAACCTGGGCCGGGTTTGGTACTTTCCTCTAATTAATAACATGGACAACATTTTGTAAACGGACACGTCTATCAAACGATTGCTGGTTATTACTCACTAATTTTGCATTTAAGAACCTACCTTTTAACTCAAAAGTTCTCTATCTTCGCTGTCACAATACCAAGACCAACTGCATTCCAACTACGCAGCGTCATCAAAACCATGAAGGAGTACATTCATCCATGTCAAAACGATGACATAATGACAAATGATGCCATATTAGCGCTCTTTCTATTATATTCATTATTATATCATTATATTATTAAAATCTGGTTTCATATTATAAAACCGGTTAAAAAGAGCAAGTGATAACACAACCAGCACTTTCATTTAAAGCAAAAATGTCGACATTTGGTTCACTAGTAAAGCTTAAATTTCTTTCTAACGAAAGCTTTAGAGCTTTAATTATTTAGAAATATGCGCTTAATGTGCTGCCGGCGCAGTGTTTCAAACAACGGGCAATAGCCAGCACGTGATCGTTCCAATTCTTAAAGCTTGGTGGAGAGACGATTCGCCAACTGTCCCTTGAAGAAGTAGAATAAGAATAAGAATAAGAATAAGAATAAGAATAGAATAGAAGAATAGAAGAATAAGAGATAATAAGAATAATAGGAAGAATAATAAGAAGAAAATAAAATATAGATAAGAATAATAGAATAGAAATAATAAGCAAAGAAAAGAAAATAAGAATAAGAAGAGAATAAGAAGAAGAATAAGAGAGAATAAAAGAGAATAAGAAAAGATAAGAAGAAGATAAGAAGAAGAATAAGAAGAATAAGCAAGAAGAATAGAGAAGAATAAGATCAAGCATAAGAATAAGAATAAGAATAAGAATAAGAATAAGAATAAGCATAAGAATACGAATAAGAATAGAATAAGAAAAGAATAGAATAGAATAAGAATAAGAATACAGAATACAAAATAAGAATAAGAATAAGAATAGATAAGGAAGAAGAAGAAGAAGAGAAGAAAGAAGAATAGAGAATAAGAAGAATAGAATAAGAAGAATAAGAATAGATAAGAAGAATAGAATAG